AAACCCTAAACCCTAAACCCTAAACCCTAAACTCTAAACCCTAAAGCCAAAAAGCGCGAGTACCCAGGCGGCATGAGAAGGAGCCCTTCGTCCCTTCCCGTGGCGCTGAGGCGGCCAAGGGGCGGAAGAAGAGGGGCTGTGGTTTAGGCTTTGTGGTTTTTAGGGTTTAGGGTTTAGGGTTTAGGGTTTAGGGTTTAGGGTTTAGGGTTTTTAGGGTTTACTGTAGAATTTTAGGGGCTTTGGTTGAGGGTTGAGGGCTTATAAGCTTTGTTTGAGGGTTTAGGGGATTTAGGGTTTAGGGGCCCCAAGCCCCAAGCCCCAAACCCTAAACCGTGGCTTTAGGGGCTTTGGTTGAGGGTTTAGGGTTTAGGGTTTAGAGTGCTTAGAGGGGAGGATGAGGGTCCGACCTCCTATATACGGGTATAGTTTAGGGTTTAGGGTTTAGGGTTTAGGGTTCAGGTTTAGAGGAATATGGCAACATTCCCTTATGCTGCCGGTACAGCTATAGTAGAGGTTTTTAGGAATTAATCAGGCCCCGATACTGAGGGTTTAGGTGGTTTTGAGTTGTGGGATGGAGCGTGCATGTGTTGCTCATTTTGGGGGTTTCAGGGCTCAAAATCTGGATTTCAGCCATGCTAGCGGCTTGATGCTTGGCTGTCTAGGCTCAAAGGCTCAAAGGGAAGTCTGTCTGCGGTCGCGCAGAGTTCAGTCTTTGAGTCCTCGTGGGGACAGGCCTCAAAGAGGTCCAGCCTCCCCTTGCGGTTCGCTTTTGCATCTAGGAGCCGGAATAGTTGCCAATAGTACTGCTTAAAGTTCCTTCTGGTAAATCTTCGTGCCATAATTTAGCCCAGCACCCTCTTCAAAATACTCGGGCCCCATATACGATTCAGCATTCAGCTCCACTTGGGCAGAAGTGGCGGCGTGAGCTCATGCCTTCTTGCTGCATCTTCGAAAACCCCAATGGGATGCCACTGGAAATCCATGGCCGATCGCTCCCTGACGATGCAGACGCCACTTGGCATATCATCCCTACAGGGCTTTGAGTTTAGGGTACCCTAATTTAGGGTTTAGGGATCTTGGAGTGGGTCTAGGATTTCCTGGTAAGAGGTGTGTGTGTGTGTGTGTGTGTGCTTGAGGACCCCGGAGACATTATCTCAATGCTGTGGAGCTGTTAAGATATCGGTGACTCGAGCCATTCCTTCCCCATGTACACCCTCAGCCCTTGACCCTGACGTTTGTTCGCCCAGGCCGTTCCCATGCTCTTCCCCATGTACACCCTCAGCCCTTAACCCTGACGTTTGTTCGCCCAGCCGTTCCCATGCTCTTCCCCATGTGCACCTTCAGCCCTTAACCCTGACGTTTGTTCGCCCAGGCCGTTCCCATGCTCTTCCCAATGTACACCCTCAGCCCTTAACCCTG